ATTGTAGTATTGTTTATAATATTATAAACAATATTACGTTTGTAAGAATAAACATATAATAATGTACGATAGTCAGACAATATTACAACTGAAAATAATATAATAAATAATATCATTTGTCAAAAACGATCAAAATCTGAGTAAAACAGGTTGTACAATAAAATTTAAGATTAAATACTTTATTTTTCTTTCTTTCACTATATTACATGCATCAGGTTTATCAAGATTTGATGAATAAGGAATAAACCTTAGACCCCATTCTCAGCAGGGGTTCAATTACGTTTCAATCGCAGGCAATGAATGATCTTAGAAAAGACTACTTGATTAGCTATGATTAGAGCACAAATATACGCTATACTGTAGCTAGTAGAATAATATTTCTTTTACTTTCGCTGGTTTCAGTAATCAAATTGACGATTCCAGTTGATTTTCATATAAAAGCGATAAAAACATGGTAAAAGACACTTTAAATTCTTCCTTCTTCTTCGTACATATAATTTTTTTGCTTCGTTCTATTATATTAATCTTTCGTAAATAGTATTCGTATTATAAAAAAAAATTAACCACTATTTATGAAATTATTTGCATTAGAAATTATTACATCAACTATTCATTCAATTACTTATTTAATTATTTAAATCGTTTATAAGTAATTAAATAAGTAATCGGATGAGTAATTTATGTAATAATTTTTAATTACTAAATTATTAAATACTTAAATCTTAGATGTACTTAAATATCGTTAATTATTTAAATCGTTTATAAGTAATTAAATAAGTAATCGAATGAGTAATTTATGTAATAATTTTTAATTACTAAATTATTAAATACTTAAATCTTAGATGTACTTAAATATCGTTAATTATTTAAATCGTTTATAAGTAATTAAATAAGTAATCGAACGAGTAATTCGACTAATAATTTTTAATGCAAATAGGTAGTATAATTAGTTTAATGTATCATTTGGAAACGTAAAATTTTTAAACAGTTTCGCAAAGAATTAAGACGTTTCCAAAAAGAATTCAAATAAATATTAAAAATATAATATTTAATGTTTAATATTTGTTATGAATATTTATGCTTCAATAATATTTCATTAAATTAATAACATTTAATTGCGGGAAAAGAATAAATATTTTATACTAATAACATTATGCTATTAAAATATATGTTATACTGTTATCCTATGCTATAAAATACTATTTATTATATACTATAGTACTAGATATAGTATTGTATTTTAGCTGGTACCATATAAATATACAATACAGTATTTTGTTCCAAATGCTATATTGTTATACTGTGCTTTTGTATACTATACTATTGTGATATGCTACTATACTGTATTACTACAATATATACCATAACATATATACTATAACATATGTAACCATTATTTATATTCAACCAATTATATGATCATATAGTGACAACTATACTGTGTAACATAATAAATGTATACTGGTATACCGTTATATCACTATATTATTATAGTACCTTAATATGAATTATGTACTATCGTATACTATACTGCTATAAGGCTATTCGTTATATTATTGTACTACTGTGTATTATACTACGTACACTATATATAGTAACTATATTCCAGTATTGCATACCATACCATTCTATAAAAGCATTTATCCAAATTTAATTATTCCTCCATTTTACATCACATAATTGAACTGAATTAATTAACTCTATTGTTAAATAAACAATAAACAAGATTTTTATCCCCTATTTATAATTTTGTAATACATCTGTCCCAAGCCCTCCATAAGATTACTTTTATTCAGAGCCATTACTGTTATCATAAATTTAAAAAGCGACTAAACAGTTACTTGAAAGTAAAAAGACTAACAATAAGTCTAATATTTATTCTTAAATTAATTATTTAATTTTGTATTAGAAAATAGATTTACAAAACGATTACTTTTTCTAACCAGAAATTGAACTTAGCTAGATATTGATGCAAAATTAGGTCTACGTTACTGGAAATCCAAGCAACAATGTAAATACCCAAGTATAAATCATGGTCCTCTCACTGTGCAAAGACGTATAACTGAGAAAGTGTAATCGATAATCGAGCATCACGAGAAATACAAGAGCGTATAAAATTACACTCTGACATTAATGTTAATGTCCACTTGAACATCTTGGCTGTTAATGTCTGAATAAACATATTTCCCCGCAGTAATAGCTAAGTTAATTGAACGCATATACCGCAACAATAGACCTTGATGACGACGAAAAATAAATATAATTTCCAATATGTACTTCACCATTACCTACTGAAAATTTGCACGCTATTCTTACGAAATGGCTCACACCAGTTGAAGCAATTTGCTGCATTGTCATCTCTGTATATAAATTTATTACAACATTATACATAAAATTACGTAATTTAATTCATTTTACATGATATAACAACATAATATAAATTTATATATATATTTATATAATATAATATAATCATATTATATGTAGTTTATTTACTGATAAAACCGTGAAATAATGATGGAACAAGATACATCAAACATAGTATAGTAAGAAAGATATAAAGTAATAATTATAGTAACTTCAAAATAATTAAACAAATTTTTGCGTATCAAAATGAATTACTGATCGTTTTAATTCATAATTAAATTTGTAATTAATACAGAATGTAATGGTACTTCAGCTATATATGTTATACAATTGTACCTATACAAACATGGAGACACGTTATCTAATAGTCAAAATTATATTGATAGTAGGTTGCAATTCGTTTTCGTAATCGATAACATTCAACATGCAGCACAAAAGACGCGTGATAACACGCTTAATGTGATTCAATACAAACACGAATCACGACCCCTACGTTTTATCAGACCACCCTGAAACTTTGCAACGTGTAACTGCAATGTGTAACACCTATTTAATCGTCAACTGATAAGAGGCTGCAATGGTTGTAACAATTTCAGATAAAATGTACGTAGAAATCGTACTTCTACGAAAATTTCAATAATTTTGATCTTGACTGACAATGAGATATATAAGTACATACTTTTATGACGATACAAATCACATAAAATTAACATAATGTAAAATAGAAATGTTTTGTGCGATTCTTAGTCGATAATTTTGTAGTTATTAGAATTCACGTGATTTTAGAATATCGTTAGTTTATATAAATTCAAAAATATATTTTATGATGTTGGTGTAAAATTAGGTTTTGGATTGGTTTGATTAAGTTAGGTTAATTTGATGTTCTACAATTTTTTAACCATATGAGAATATTTTTCTCATGAATTAATAATTATTACCATTTGGACATATTTCCTATGCAAATGTAAGCACATAATTAATTTCTTATGCTACATAGATATTTTATACAAATATCGTACAGTATGTCATACTTTGATACGATTTCTATTAGTTCATGGCAATATTTGATTTAGATATTTCACATCTGTTTCGAGAACTTATGAATTATTGCAATTTATCGAGGGTTACCTTCTTTCTGAAAACGAAGTACAATTATTAAAAGCCTATTTTTCCGATAATACTAATTCATTGTAAAGCATATTCGACATATTTAATAGAAAAGAGATACGATCCAATCTTTAATTAAAATGTCTGTTAACCAAAATAAAATAAATACGCAATTATAGAAATTTTTATTTTAATTATATTACTCAAATGTTTTAAGAAAACAAAAGTGTCCATTTGAAGAAGATATTATACCTTTTCGATAAGTTTTAAAATATCTATGTATGCGACATGTGTATGTATATGTATGAAATACAAAACACAAATAGAAATTTAATTAACAAAACTTTAATATCTTTTTTCAAATATATGTAATTATATACTAATTTGTTAACATAAGTATAATTATATTTCAATAATCATTAATAACGTGGAAGAAAAATATTAAATAATTATAATTGTTAATATTATAATCATAATAGAAGAAGCAATATATATAATTATATACTTATATTTTAATAATCAGTAATTAGAGTGGAATAATCATTAACAACGTGGAAGGAATATATTAAATAACTATAATTTCACATATTCCACTATACATAAATATAACAGAAAATATTTTTAGCATTATATACAAATAATTATTTCAAATTTCACTCTGTTGGTCCCTATTTTGAAAAGTAAATTAATATTTGTTAAAAGACACACTGGTAGAATAAAGAAGTGCTTTTCACCTGAAATAAAAGAAACCAAATAGTATTTCAAATATAAAACATGTAACAGTACGAACTTTATAAGAAAATAAACTTAAAATTAGTACAAAAATCAGACAGTGAAAGTAAGTGTTTCATAGAAATTTTGTGGTTACAATTACATTCGTAATTCTACATATAAACCTCGAAAATTTGAATAATATTAAATATTAAATACCATTTTTCAAAATGGAACTCATATATTTCTTTTCATGTATATTATAATATAAGAGAATAGTGTACGAGTATAGTGTTTATGTTACAATGTAACTTTCAATCTATATACATAATGTTAGATTGAAATTACATTAAAAATGAAAGTTGGACATTGAAGAACCATAGATTTGAGTGACTTCGTGTCAAAAAAAAAAAAAATTAGGAAAAATTTCTATATATAAATAATTCCATTTTATTGTAAATCATATAATCGTTGCAATAACAAACGCAGTAAACATTATAATTGTAACACTGTTTTTCAAATAATTCATAATTTCAATAAAATATCAATATTAGAAATACATATACAGAAATTTCTAGCTGTGTATTTTAATAATATTATAAATGTTAAATTGTAATGTTAAATTATGTGCAATTTAAAAATTTGTTGGAGGAGAAATTATTAAAGGCATAATTAAAAATTTCTAATTTTTACACTACATTTGCTAATCACGTTTCCTTAATTGTTTTAACTATATTCTAGTCGCATATCCTAATTCATATCGTTACATTATTTATTCTAATAATTTATTGTCTCGTGTATGTTGGAAGAACGTTTCACCAGCAAGGCTCGAAATCCTCGATTTGGTTCTCTACGTGTCCAGGTGATACGTAAATTATGCGCACGCAATTTGTGAAGCCAATTCCTTGACGCCATCCACTAACCACCACGACTGGATCACCAACCCTGATGTATCCTTTTCTTCGAAAAGAATTAATACCGGATTGTATTCGTGCTTGTATGTCTCGGGCCCAATCAGACACAGCATCCACTGTATTGACAATTAAATAAAATATAATAATTTTTATCGAAGTCATTTATTTTTTAAATTTGATAGATAATTTTTTATTATAATTAGTTAAAATAATTACTTATTTATATATTATAATTTACTTTAATCAGTATTTACACGTTTATAATCATTTATTATAGTAATTAAAATATATACTATTAATAATTGACATTATTAGAATAAATATAATAAAATATATATAATGTATGTTTTATAATAAAATAAATAAAAACAAATATTTATTATAATAATTATATCATTAAAAAAATTTTGTATTATTTTTGTATTAAGAACATTTGTAATAATAAATTTTAAAAAATTTTTTATTATTTCTTTATTAAGAAGCTTTTTAATAAATTAAAAAAAATTTGTTATTATTTCCTTTTTAATTCAAAATATTTTAATAATTTTACTAAGTAGAATGTATCTATATGTAAATATAAATGTTTACTATAAATAAATAATTGGCCAACGGGTATATATAACAAATACATTTACCTCTGTAATGAAGGGGGTGAATACCACAATATAATTGCAACCATCTTGCGACTACTCCATAACGAGTAACTGCAAGAATCGGGCATCTAGGGCGATACATGGATAACAAAGCAGCGCTACGTCCAGTAGTGGTAGTTACGATAATCGCAGCTGCGCTTGATTTTAAAGATGTCTCTACTGCACCAACGATGATCGCGTGTAAGGGGTCTAAAGGTATTGGGACCTTATAAAAAGAATATATAAATGCAAATTAGCTGTAATGTATAATCAAAAAAGTACAGTATAAGTATAAAAGTAAAATGAGCCACGGGGCAAGTCGCACCGGGTAGGTTTTGCATCCAACTTTTTGGTGCAACATATTATCTAATAATATTTATAATATGGGAAAGAGAAGAGTTTGTTTAAAAAACGTAAAATGTTATAAACATATTTGTTATTTACGTGCACTGGGTACATACAACATTAGTATGTTTTATTACAATTTCTTTATATGTCAATCGTGAACATTTGGTACATTTCATACTATAACAAATAAAAATAAATCAAAGAAGAAGAGTCGAGATTTGTAAGGAAGATTTAAAGTAAAATTTAAAATTAAAGTTTCTTGCCCTCGTTACGCCGTTAACACACGCAGCTTCGTCGTAGTATTACGAGGATTAAAAGAAAGAAACGATTTTTTAATTATCTCATATTATAAAAAATTTGATTATAGTAATATAAACGTGAAACGTGATGCACTACCTTATGGCTTAATTCGTCAAAAATTTCCTTTTGCCATCGAGCGCTTTCAGCTTCTCTGCATACTCTATCAACGTCTTTTAATAATTGAGTACTTTCTTTCATATTTAAACTTCCAGTTTTAAGGAAAATCGCGTCAACTCCGTTTAAAACAGCATTCGCAATTAAGTTCATATCAATATCTGGAGTTTCATTGTTGCATACTTGAAATCCAAGTACGATTGGTTTTCCCATCTGAGAGAATGGTAAAAACAAAATTTAGATGAGTTCATGTTATTTTTTATTCATTATTAATTATTAACTTATTATTAACTAATTATTACTATTGTTATTATTACTATTATTACTATTATTATTATTACTACTACTATTATTATTAATATTACTACTACCACTACTATTATTGTTGTTGTTATTATTATTATTATTATTATTATTAACTTAATTGTCGACAATTCATTTATCTTTTTATGTAACCATAACTTACTTATAAGTAAGATCTACCTGTACATACAGAAAAGGTTTATTCAATTTTTCATTAAATTGAAGGACTGTAACTCTTTTGAGTAAATTCTTAAAAATAAAAATTTTATTTGGAAAATCAATAATAAAATAAAATATCTATACTATTATCTAGCTTCTTTCAAATCATTTCTTTCTGATATGTATAATTTTTATTTTCTGATATATCAGGCTAATATGATCAATTTGAAATTGACTTAAATATCATATTGAACTAATATGTGAGAGGTTTGTGGGTATAAGGATAAGAAGACAAAGCCAAGGTTTACTGATAATACGTTTAATTAAATTAAACAGGAATAGTCACACTCTTTTCACTCGTTAAACACTATTCATGTTCTCCTCGTTCTCACCACGTGTCGCATGCACGCATGCCCCCTCTCCAACCTACACCTTCCTTTGTTATCGCCACTTCCACTTGCACGCTATCTTTCGTCTCTCTCAGTCTCTCACCATCCAATCTCACATAATATGTATTTGAACTAAATATTTAATAAGTAATTAAATATTAAATAAATAAAATTTGTTAATTAAATAAAAATATATTTACGTCTTAAAAATATTTTAGAACTTCTTATGTAATATTTATATTAATAACTCGATCATTATTATAATTACGTTATTATAGTCGTAACGAAACAGTACTAATCACTCCTGCCATATCACATAATTGAATTGCATAGAATTAATAAATCTACGTTAAATATTTAACATAGATATTTAATAAATTTGTTAAATTATAATTTTAGTAACCTTAATACACTTCGCAATTACTACTTTCTCGACTAAAAACAGCTTTTCACTTCCTACGTCTACTTCAACGCTCTTTCTGTCAAGTAGAATGCCATCAGCAGAATTCAAAATCTCGTCAAAATTTTCTATACCTTGCTGCGTTGAAATTTTCGCCATGACACAAATTCGACTAACACCTTTAAAAAAGCGGATCGGTGCATTCGTTATGTATTAATGACATTATTTGGATATCAAAAAATGATGTGCATCAAAAATCATGAATGTAATAAATGTATAGGAACTTTTACTAAAAATGATAATAATGTAGGAGTAAATATAAAAATAGAATTATTATTATATAATTCTATTAATTTAAAATTTAAATAATTATTTTTTATTAATAAATTGAAAATAGTTATTAATAAATACAAAGAAAAAATTAAAGTATAAAATATTAAATAAAATCTAGCCAAGATTCGATTTATTCTAAATCCACAATTTATTAATAATAAAAGAATTATTAATAATCTAGCTTCAAATATGAAATAAAAAAATAAAGAATTTATTGAAATAAATAAATAAACTATAAGTGATATCATTAAATAATTTATTAACAAACATAATTTATTTCCTTTATTTAAATTTATAAAAAATTATTGAAAAAATTCATAAAGTTATAATTAATAAAAGAAAACATTATTTTTTGTAGTACTTTTTATTTAACAAATGAAATTATAAAGGAAAATGGCGTGAGAGTCCTTTTACCGCCTTTTAATTTAAGATGCTTGTGTCTCGGAAAGAAAGAAAAGAAATTCAAATACGATCTAGATATCGATAGTTTCAAAGACCACCAACAGATGTCAGTTGACCCAAAATCCCACCGTCGATAATTAGAATTTTACAGTTATTCTGAACATGCACAAATTATAGATCACTCGAAAAATGCATAATTCATACCTACCAATATGTTTCAAGCGACTTTTAATACCGTAGATCATCTTCTCGTTACGGGTGTGATTCATTATAAGAAAATCACATTCCAAAATCGAAGCCAATTTGAGATGTTTAGTGTCCTTTTCCGATATTTGTGGTAGTGAAATTACCGAATCTAGTAATTGAACCAATTTGTCATCTCTTACTATTCCACCTTTGATAACTTTACAGGTTACAGCTTTCTCGTCTGTATTGAAAGTATTATAACTTTTATTAATATCGATATTCACACAATTCTAAACTTTTTGTCGTATTTTCAATCATATTCTTGACTTTAGAAAATTTATACATAATCATTTTTATTTAGTTTTATTAATCTGCATATAAAAAACATTAACATTTTAAAAGTAATACTGCCCTCAAAACCGCATAAACTTAACGCTATCAAATGATAACACGTCATGTATCCAAAATGGTAATTTAACATACCCTAAATTTTTGCTAACTTAAAAAGAAATGATAATTATTACTTTCAATTAAACTTTCATGTGAAATATTTCCGAATGAATATTTTACATATATTTTTTCAATTAACAATAGTTCACATCACAGATTAGAACTAATAAATATATATAATTTAATAATGTCCCAAATCACAAGTAAGTGTCTAATCTAATCTTCAAATATAAAGGAAAAGTATAAGAAAAAATAATTTTTAAATGACAAATTTAATCAGATGTAAAAAACTCATTTGTTTAAATGACGTTAATAATCGTGTAAAATAAATTTTTATTATTTTTATATAAAATAAATAATTATACAAATACATGTAGAGGTAACATTTTCTTAAACTCATTTTTATATATTGTGATCAGTGATAAACATAACTCTTAAATAGAAAGAAATAATTAAATGTAAAATGTATATATTCTGTTAGTCCTCAATTTATCAATATAAGGTAAAAGTAACTAACGAATACAAGCGACTTGTAATAACGCAGCGCCTCGGTCGATTAGTATTCTATCCCCAGGTCGACATACACGAGGTAAGTCACGGTAAGAAATCCAGAAACATTTGGCATTCCCTGCACGTTTTGTCATATCGTCTGTTACCAATTTTGCCATGTTACCTTCCTTTAATTTAGCGTAACCCTGTAAATATAAATACACGGTATACAAAAATATAAAAATATGAAATAAAAAAAATAAAATATGTAATGCAAATTAAAGGAGATAATATTATAAGATAAATATATTTAATTTTTCGTCACTAGAACCAATATTAATTTATGAAATTTCAAATAATAGTCGTACTATACTCGTCTCATCACTATGGAATGAACCAGTTCTTATCTCGGGACCTCGGAGATTCATTGCAACTCCTAATGGATAAACCTCGCTCGTGAATTCATACATCTTATTTCCCGCTTCTCTAATAGATTGTACAGTGATTGCATGCCATTTCTCCGTTTCATGAGACATATTCAAACGAACTATATTTGCACCAGCCATCATCATATTAACGACTGCATCAGGGTGAGAATTTCTTCTTCCTATACCAATTATACAGAATATTACACGATAATACATTAATTTGAAAAATTTAATGAAGGAAATTTGATTATAACATTAAAGAGAAGATACAAAATCCTTCCTATTTTTATTTTGATTATTCGTATTTTAATTATCTATATCCTCTATACAGATCGTAGATAACATCGGGATCTGCTTTCAATTAATAGCCTCCTCTGTGTTAACATTTCGAAAAAGTACATAGTGTAAATTGAAGAATAACTTGTGATCACTCAAACGTGTATTTTAATACCATGAAGAAATAATATACAAAAATAAAAATATTACAATATTTATTATAAATGAGTGAATAATAATAATTGATAAAAAAGGAGTTTGTTTTACAAATCAATGTTATTCACTACAAACATAATTCTAGATAACTGGATTTAAAAAAATGTAACTTTCTTATTCAAAAAAACATCTGACTAAAATTTAAACGAATATCTTAGAATTACTTTGTAATCATTTCTTATTGTAACTTATTTTTATTAACAAATAAAAATGAAACAATTGCATACTTACCCAATGTAATCATAATTCGTGTAAGCCTTGGTAATTTAGGACTGGAATTAATATCAAGTTGTATATTGTGTTCAAGACGTGTATTTTGATATGCTGCTTTTCCTTGATCATCTGTTATATATTGATCTTCAAGATGTATCATCTATTCATTGAATAATAAATCAATTATATTTATCCATGAACATAATAACATAATTAAATATAAAAATAGTATTAATTGTAAAAAGTACCCATGGCATTCGGCGGCATGATTTTATCCATTTAGTTGCTGGTGCAGTATCATTAACACATAACATTATGGAATTGAATATAAGTTACAATTTTGTACGTTTCAAGACTTAAAAATATGCATTTGATTTTTATGATTTTGTATCCATTTTATTATCAATTTGGTAAAGGTTAGGAAATGGACGGAGTTACATACTGCAGTTATGAAAGAAATTTGAACACTATATATTCTGACTTCACTAGTTTGAAATTTAATACAAATTCTTAATTAGAATTTTTAATTTTGTTAAAACCTATCGTTAAATTTAAAATGAATTTTTAAATATTTATATTAGTAGATAAAGTAGTTTTATAAAAATTATTAATTCGCCTATTTTGTACGATAAAAATTTACTGTTATAAATTGCTCAAATTTTAAATATTATGAAGAAATAAAATTAATTTATTTCCGAATTAAATTTTAACAAAAATACATGTATGAACACAGTCCTTAGATATTAAGCGGAGAGCAGGTAATTATACATTATATAAAAGAATAAAGATTTAAGTTTTTTTATTTATAATATTCAATTCAGATAAGAATTTAACATTCCTTAATTTGGACAAAGTAAATTTATAAAATATCTCACAGATACTTTACGACATTTCTGTAAATAATGTAAGCGTTTCCTTGCAACATTTGCTATTGTACTTTCTTTTCAAAACTTATATATTACTAAAATATCCAAATATCCAATTATACATTACTAAAATATTCAAAATAAATATATTTTCTTTATTTTGCATTCCAACAAATGGTTTCATTTTGTACTTACCACTAATAAAAAATTGTTCACAAATTAAAGGAATAATAAAAAGCACATTAAAATAAAATAAATTTCTTTATTTATCTTTGCTTCCTACAAGAAATTAAAGAACCAAATATAGTATTTCTTTCCTAGCAAATAATAATTCAAGTTTCAATAATTTACTGTTCCAAATAATTATTTTACTTTATTATTTAACGATGATATTGTGCATGTATATATACATGTATATGTGTATACAGTAATATACATATATACATATGTTAGTATATACATACATTTTTGGTACATGTAGTGACAATAATACTGCAGCTACTGGCTTCTTTAAATTATTATCCATTCAATGATTTTACTAAATTTATCATACATCATCATACAGTATAAGTTACATACATATTAAATTTCCATAATCTATTATCATTTAATATCTTCTGCCCTTTACAATTCAACCAGTGAATTTTTATTCAACCGTCCTAAAAAAAAAAAAATAAATATTAAGATTATATATTGCATGTTTTACTAACCTTAAAAAAACACAATACACAATACACAATAAACTTGTTACATATAAGAGCACACAAATAAAATACAAAACGTTTATATATATCTAGCACTGTTAATATTTTTATAATGTATACATAATACAATGTATTTGTATATATGATGTAATGTATTTATGTATTACAATAATTTATTATTATTTAATAATGAATTTTAAGTAATATTAATTGTAACTCAAAAACTGTTTTAATTTGGTTAATGATTGTAAATTATGATAATGAAATTGAAAATATATTAATAAAAATTGTAATAAATTTATATAATGAAATGCATAGTTTAAAAGTAAATGATATTATTTAAAGAACTACCTACATATGTTATAAGTAAAATAAGATGTCTTACACTAATTAAAGATAATAACCTTGTTTCTCAAAAGATATTCTTTACTTTCATAAAAAACAGTAGTTAAATATGTAACAATATTCACATAATATTCATGCACATGAAGCTATTAAAATTAAAAAGCCACCAAATTAAATATATAAGTTAATTACAATTACATATAGAGATTATTCCCTTTCATTTAAGAAACTTTATTAAAATAAGCACATATAGCATAATAAAGTTTTGTTATTATGAAGCACATGCAAAACAGGTTAGCGTATTATATTTAATGCGTTAAATATATGCGTTAAACATGCAGAAGTTACATAATATATTCATAGCTATCTGTTTCGCTACGAATAGTACATGCATCCTCATCTCGAGGAACTTCTATGTCTACATACACGATACGAAGTGTATTCGTAAATCCTGAGCCTTGTCGCCATCCAGTGACTACTACAACTGAATCTCCAGCTTTTACAAAACCACGACTTTTGCCGAATTTTAAGCCAAATTGAACGCGAACATCAACGTCCTTTACCCAATCAGTTAATGGGTTATCTGAAAATAATTATTATACATTGCTACATTATGGCAAGATGATTATAAAATATCATGTTCAAATTATACATATATCGTTAAAGAAATTATATTTCTATATTAATAACTAAAGATTATTTAACCACTTCTTTAATGTTATATATGTATGTAATAAATATGTCATTTATTTTGTATTACCTTCATAATAAAGTGGTAAGATGCCACGATATAGATGTGCTTGTCGTGCAACTTGATGGAATCTAGTTACTGCAATAATTGGACAACGTGGTCTGTATTTTGCGATTAAATGTGCAGATCGACCAGTAGTTGTAACTACTATAATAGCACTAGCTAAACATTTCACAGACGCTTCTACAGCAGCGATTCCAATTGCATGGGTAGCATCAATTGGAGGTAACGCTTTGCTTGAAAGATCATGGAAAATCTGTCTCTGCCAAATAACAGCCTCTGCTTCTTTACAGATATTGGCCATTGTGCGAACACATTCCAGTGGATAATCTCCTTTGGCAGTTTCACCTTAACATACCAAAACAATTAATAAATTTTTCATATTTACGTGAATATTAACATAAAAATTTAGTATAAGTTATAACAATTATTAATAAAAATTATTAATATCGGTTCAAATTATTAATATTCTAAAAAGAATTGTTCGAATGGTTGTATTTCTATATAATTAAAAATATTTTTTATTAAATAAAAGAGAAAAATAACATTGTTTTTTATCAAAATAACACAAAATAAATTTTTAATAATTAATAGTATAATAGTTAAATAATTTATACCTGACAACATGACACAATCTGCTCCATCAAGTATAGCATTAGCTACATCCGATGTCTCAGCTCTAGTTGCACGTGGTTTTTTCACCATAGATTCAAGCATTTGCGTAGCACAAATTACCGGCTTGCCAACTTTATTACATCTACTGATCATAGACTTCTGCGCCAAGAATACTTTCTCGGGTGGTATTTCAATACCAAGATCACCACGTGCTACCATAATACCATCAGAAGCCTCGATAATTTCATCGAGATTGGTCATGCCTTGCTGATTTTCAATTTTGGATATTATTTTAATGTTCTTTCCCTTTTCACCAAGGATGGCACGAATTTCAGCTAAAGCTTTGGCGTCTCTTATAAATGAAGCAAAGATCATATCAACTTCTTGCTCAACACCAAATTGTAAATCAGATTTATCTTTTTCAGAAACAGCTGGCAAATCTACTGGTGCACCAGGTAGATTGACACCTTTACGAGAACCTAACATGCCACCATTTTCAACAGTGGTTACAATTACATCAGGATCTGAAATATATAAATCAGAAATGTATAACACGAAAATAATGTCTAAATCTACTAAATTAATTTATACTATTTTCTTCAAATCTGCTCAGTTATATAAAAATAACCCAAATAAACAATATAATTATCACAAGAGTACAGTACTCTTTGTTAATTATTAATACCTATCAATAAAAATACTGAAGCATTGTATTCTCAATTTATCAAATTAAAATAAAATTATTAAAACATTATTTATCATTTATCAAATATTTATAAAAAATAAAAATGGCTGGCACTTATCTTTACACAAAAAATAAGTTTACATCAAAATTAATTAATAAAATTAGAGTAATATCGTCATATACATGTAACACATTAGTTATTTCAGTTAAGGAATAGAGAAATATAAATAAAACGTACTAATTGAGGTAACTATAAGGGAAATCAAGCCATCATCGACGAAGACGCGACTTCCAGGTTTCAGAACCTTGGAAATATTTACGTAATCTACGTAAACAATATTTGCATTGCCTTTCTCCAAGTACGCCTTATCAGTAGACAGTTTGAAAGTTTGATCCTTAACTAACTCGACTTCGGCAGATCCACCCTAAAAAAGTAACAAATAATAAAGTATCGTATCTTCGTATCTCGAAAACCAATTAATTTCTCTATCTTTATTTTATATTCTGTTTTACTAAAATCCCTTCGAAACCCTTATCATACCTAAATTTCTCTTTTAAAGTCACCTCTCCCACATACATCTGACACTCAAAGCTCACTGTCAGTTATTAACCCCTTGCACTGCGATTTAATTACGAAAAATTATATATTGAACTAGTACTTAATTTTAATTATCCACTATATATCTATTTCATGGACAATAAGATTGGATAAAAATTTGGGAAATTCAAAGAATTTTGTGGATGTTAAGACTTATGAAATGATTTGATGATAAAGCTTATGATTTCGAAATTTGACACGTAGAATTCGTGGCGAGTTAGACTCGTCATTGCAGTGCAAGGAGTTACAGCTATCCTCTTGCTAAACTAATTCAAAAATTCAGCAATATACTATAAGAAAGAAAATTAAAGTGAACATTTTACTATAGTATATTTACCATAGTATATAATATGCTATAGTATATCAAATATTTTATCATAAAAGATACACAAGGTGTCCCAATAACGGTAGTACAATGAGAAGGTACGTGATTCTACATCAAAAATCAAATCGAAAATAAAGAACAAAACTTTTTCGTTCGAAGCTTCGTTGTCGAGAAAATCGACTTTGAATATTCACCGAGTACGCGTGCACGTGACTCCCACTTACAAGATGGACGTACCATCATATCGGCATACTCGGTGGATATTCAAAGTCGAATTTCTCGACAACGAAGCTTCGAATGAAAAAATTTTATTCTTTATTTTCGATTTATTTTTTCGTGTAGAATTATCCCCTCCTCAGTCGTACCACCAATGCCGATGTATTGGTGGTTTATCCATCTAAGTGCTTGCGTACATGGTGAATATTTAAAGTCGATTTTCTCGATAATGAAGTTTCGAATTGAAAAATTTTATTCTTCATTTTCTATTTACTTTTTCACGTAGAATCACCATCTCCTCGATTGTACTATCGTTACTGAGACACCACGTGTAGATAAGCGAATGAATTACGTACGCCTTCCAAAAGTCCAGTACGAATTTCAGGACCTTTAGTGTCCAAAGCAATTGCTACAGGAACATTGATACTAGTACGGCTAGAAAGATTCTTCTGCGCTTGTCGCACATTGCTAATGGTCTCAGCGTGGTATTCGTGCGATCCATGGGAGAAGTTTAATCGAGCAATGTTCATGCCGGTTTCGATCATCTTCTCGAGCGTTTCGACGGATCTCGAAGCAGGTCCAATCGTACAAATGATTCCCGAAAGACGAACGAACGATGCATCGCTGTCGATGTCCAGGGCACACATATGATCTAGCTGGCTTTGAGCGTACAAAGCTGCGGTATTCGGCTTTCCAGCCATCTGTGAAAATATGTAGCGATTAAATTCAGTTCCATTCGTATGGGAAATTGAAACTGTTAAGAAACATGTCGAACATTCGTTAATTTAATGCCAAAGCGTCTGTGACTTGCTTTGTATAACGTTTAATAAATAGAGATGGCTACGAGGCAAAAATTGTTTAAAAAGCGTTGTATGCTTCTTGAACAGCAAACAAAATTTAATACTTATAGGTATAGTCGATTAGTGTTATGACATTAATGAATTCAAACTTAAGGTACTATTTACATGAAACTATGTAAGTGGAAAATTGAAACTAATATGGGATTGCTCTGTTAGAAAGATAGGTTAGGTTCAAATATAAAATTCGATTATAAATACAAAAATTCGGATAAAATAAATAATTAGATAAATTGAAAATAAAATCAGAAAAATTAGAAAAATTAAAAATTAAAAATAACACTTAATTTACGCTTACTATAATACAAAAATTTCTAATCTATTTAAGGATACATAACACAGGGATGTTACGTAATATTACCTATGCAATTAAAATAAATCTGCATGCATCTGAATGATTATTTAAATTCTTAATATAATATAATATGTAAAAAATATTGATATTGCCAAAGACAGAATTTTAAATTATGTATTAAATAGAAATGACGTTGCTACATTCTACAATATACTAATCACTAAAAGTAAACAAAATACAATACTACCAACCTTAACACTAAACGTACCGGTATTTTACACATTCCTATTCTTACTATAGGGGGTCAAACGTCCCTTTATGGTATATAAGGAAAGCAAAGAATTTTTCTCGGTGAAAAATAAGTTAAGAGAAAAACGAGAAATTAAACAATCAGATAATATGAGAATTTACGGAAAGTCAGATGAGCGAAAAAAATTACAATGTACGATTTATAAAAATTTTGAAAGGGGTCATTTAACCTCGCTTCGTACGTTTAGTGTTAATACGCATATTTTAAAATTTATTATTTAAAAAATGGATACCTATTATAGGAAATAATTTTACAAATTTATGATACTTTTATTTTATAAAACATGTAACTAAGGACATACAAAAATTTTGTTCTATAGATGTATAAAATTAATATATACACTACAGTAAATAGTATTTCATCTTGTGATTACCTGTTGTTTCAAGTAACTTGTTGTTTCAGAGATATAATCTCATGTTAAATGAGCAAATAAAAATGTTATTAGTTAGATTGCATTAATTAATAAACAGTTTCACGAATAACATATAACGTAATCTATGTAGGAACGGAATGAGTACGGCCTTGAAAGAATGTCAAGAGTATTTGGACTTAGAACAAAAGTGACCACGTGCAAAAGGATTCACTGCAAAGAATGTTCATGATAGAGTCGAGTGAAAGTTTAGGGAATCGTCCAGATTGGTTGAAGTACATGCTCCATCGAGATTGCGTAGGAAAGAGCATGACTGAGAAAGAAAGCCTGAGTATGAAAGAGGAAAGAATGCATGGTTTAACACGATAAGTGCCCAGCCCGTTTTGCTTGCCGTTCCGTTCAGGCCCAGGTTCGGCCGTCAAATGGGCCAATGGTGGTGAACAAAGTGTTCATAAAACTCGGAGATACTGTACCAATTGTTATAACAGGAATTCCCAAACGTTAGATCCAAAGATGGCGAAGAATTTAACACTTTACCGACCGGAAGCCTATAAATCGGCTTTTGGTCGCCGATGCTTACCGACCGATAGCTTATTAATAGGCTTTTGGTCGCCGATGCTTACCGACCGATAGACTATTAATAGGCTTTTGGTCGCCGATGCTTACCGACCGATAGTCTATTTTTAGGCTTTTTGGTACGTTGCTCAGTTGCGTTAGTTGCGTTGCTTTATAAGCTCAAACATTGTTGCGGCCCTAGGACCGCAATGTCCTAGGTCAAGTGGAGGACTGTTTTATGTCCTTAGTGTCTGTTTTTTTTTACAAATTTATCTGAACATACGAAACGCACAGATACACCCGTGCGACAGTCTAAACCGAAACAGAGCCGGTGCCAGGGAGAATCTGCGAATGAGCGACCGGTCAGAAGTACGTATGCCGTTGAAGCGTTAGCGGTCGGTAAAGTGTTAACACCAAAAGTTAGCACCTTTTGGTCCTAGTCTGGGCCAGTCCCCGAGGACCGGCCGGGCCCGAACGGAAAGTCTAGCGTCGGTCCCTGCGAACCAGCGTGGCACTTAACTACTTGCGCTACGATTTAACTTTCGGTTGCCATGCCACGCTCCACAATATATCATGCGGTAAAACGTTACATTGACACCGCACCACGTCTGCGAGTTAACTGTTAGCCGACGTGACGGACACGTCGTTTTTGTTTCTGCAACAAATACCTATCGACGTGGTATACACGTCGCTGGCGGCTTTGGAACAAAAGCATCTCGACGTGCGTGGCACGTCTTTATAGCGCAAGTAATTAACGTGTTAACCCTTAACCCTTTGAGCAATAACTTTCCAAACATCCAACAGGTCCCAACTGCCATCGCAACAGCTATTATTCACGAAAACATAACACTAATCAAGAAACGTGTTGCTGGTAGCCGTGAAACAACCGAACTAACATCGCAACATATACGTTCACAATGTTTTAAGATAAATATAGAAACGCAACAGTGACGTAGTTATTGCGGGTGGCTTGTAACGCGTAGACGTGACTGTTGCATCGTTACTGTTCAAAGGGTTAATGGTTGCTAGCTTTTTATACGTGATTCTCGCTAGGTTGTAGCTGGTTTCGGTAAATATGCGAAAGATTTCCGTCTTGTCACCTCCCACGTGATACATGACCGCAGCGATAAAGTACTGTTGTCACGTGAGAGGAGACTTAGACTGATAAGGGTTAAATAAGGGCGTAAGGACGCGTGCGAGTTAATCTAATAATGTGCAAAGACGATTTGGACAGGCAGTCTATCAGTTACAGTTTTGAAAGTCAGTTTATAAAAGTCAGTTATAAGAGTCAGTTTTAATCCTTTGCGCACGAGCGCCACATATATGCGTTCTACGGAAGCCATCAGTTTGGCTGAAGAACGCATATATGCGTTCGACGAAAACAACTGTTAAGGCCGAGGGACACATAAATGTGTCCCACGTAAACGTGTTGCTATGGCCAAGAAACACAAATATGCGTTCGCTGTTGCGGCCCTAAGACCCTCACGTCCCAAGTTAAGTGGTGGACTGTTTTATGTCCTTATTGCCAGCGTTGCTATGAACGAAAATTGCGTTTAACACGTTAAGTGCCACGCCGGTCCCCAGGGACCGGCGCTAGGCTTTCCGTTCAGGCCTGGCTAGTCCTTAGGGACTGGCCCAGACTAGGACCAAAAGGTGTTAACTTTTGGTGTTAAATTCTTCGCCATCTTTGGATCTAACGTTTGGGAATTCCTGTCATAACAATTGGTACAGTATCTCCGAGTTTTATGAACACTTAGCCCGCTGCCGGTGGGCCCACTGAACGACCAAGTCTGGGCCTGAACGACGTTTAACACGTCAAGTGCCACGCCGGTCCCCAGGGACCGGCGCTAGGCTTTCCGTTCAGGCCTGGCTAGTCCTTAGGGACTGGCCCAGACTAGGACCAAAAGGTGTTAACTTTTGGTGTTAAATTCTTCGCCATCTTTGGATCGAACGTTTGGGAATTCCTGTCATAACAATTGGTACAGTATCTCCTAGTTTTATGAACACTTAGCCCGCTGCCGGTGGGCCCACTGAACGACCAAGTCTGGGCCTGAACGGAACGGCTAGCAAAACGGGCTGGGCACTTAACGTGTTAACAAGAGCTTGGACCCGATTAGGTCAAGAAAAGAAAAAACCCAGACAGTTTTAGTATTTTAGTTTATGTTATGGTAAAATAAATCAATTAGTCGAGAAGAAGCTAGTCTAACGAAGTGAGAAAATGCTTTTGTTCCCAGTATTTGTGCAAATTTTTGTGCTAACTGTAGACGAGTACTTATTTGCATATTATTTTAGAATACAAATAGAACACTGAAAAGTGCTAAATTTTGCATTCCATCATGCTCCTAGATATTATGCCTCCTTTAATCTTGTCTTCCAAGGAGAATTGCTGTATCTATACTCACTCGCTATAAATAGAGTCTAGTATGAACGCACATTGTTACATTCAATTTCGTAGAACGAAAACTTAGCTAGATCTTAGATGATCATGTTCCAAAGTGACTACATATTCTTCTAAATATTCTTCTAAATATTAATATATTCTTATAAATATTAAAAATATCCTTATAAATGATCACGTAGACCAACACGTACGAAAAGTAACATAATTCTTAATAAATGGCAAGTTATTTTAGAGCCATAAATAAATTATCAACCTAATTTGAGTGATTTGTTCTTATAACAAATTTAATAAACATTGTAACCGAAGAGGTATACCAATTTTATTGTTTATTTCATCAAAGAATACGTGATAAAGCAAGATGATGATAAATAAACACATAAATATAAATAAGATGAACATTACAAACTTGATCAAATTTTGCACTTCTATCCATAACACATACAGTATGTAACAAAAGTAAGTAACACTAATCATAAAATGGGTAACAAAGACATTTCTCTTTTCAAGTAAATTATTTTTGATAATTATTATATGTGTTAGGCTTAATTTATTTATACACGAATGATAAATTTCATTTTAGAAATATCTTAATTTTACTATTTAGAGACCTAATTAATATTTAATTCTTAAAATATATGCCGTACTTTCATAAGCTTATTTGTCATAAGATGGCATAAATAATCGCGAATTCTGAGGTAAATTTAAGAGGAAAAACATTTACAACAGTGTCACTTCTACCTCAAAATTTATGAGGTTGATTAATGTACATTCTAACCTAACCATATATCTGAGGAGATTTACAAAAGTTTTTGAAACTATATTCCTTGCCAATTAATTTAATTTATCATTTAATTATTATTAAATAAATAGATATATCCCTTTGTGAGAAATTAAACATTTATCGCAAACATTATTTTATTTCAGCAATTACTATTCGTTTATTTATTATTTATTTATCACTTACTTACATTACTTACTGTAGACAGGATTAAAAATAAATTTTGCATCGATTTTCGTTATAGCAATGCTGACATAAATACCAATGCATTGCAACTATCAATTGCATGTTATTTTATCAGAGATAAAATAAAATGACAAATAATTATATTACAAGTTAATATATTGTAATATGTTATACAAAATGTCAATAGAAACTTATATACATGTATATACATTATATACAAACGTGCTAAATAAATTGTGTGATGTGAATCCTGAAAATTGTTCATTGATAAAAGAGAAAACTGACCATAAATTATTATTAATATGTGAATTTGATTTATAGTATTTTCTGTATTCTACTGTTAAGGAAAAGAATACTTTGAAAAAAAGTTACTAAGCGTTTTACCCCAAATTATTTAACCATAAACATTTTACAACTTTTCTATCCTAATTTCTCTATTACAAATAAATGATCCATATGAACATTTTCAATTTTTCAAAATATGTGGAAAATGTGTAAAAATTGAATAAAGCTTATCTGCAATTCTAACGATTCGTTTCTGATAACGGTAACTTTCCATTTTGCAATCTTTCCTAGAAGATTAAATCGTTGAAAATTATTTAGGGTATAAAATCCATAAAAGCGCAGACACTTGCAAGTCCAATGCACTATCTCGATAAATTTATCGATTTAATGATAACAGAACAAACATAATAGACATTGGATATAAAAATTCGATAATATTCGATAAAATATACGTATAATTAATACTAACATAAAGACACTAAATATCGTATTCAAAAGAGAAAAAGAACACTCAAGTAACTCGTAATTCGAATAATTGAATGATGTTGCAAATGGTCAGATGAAAGTGCTAAAATTCAAACTACAAAAATCACACGCAACATATACACGAAAATCATGCTAAAAATAAATCAAAAGTAATTTTTCTCTAGGGCGTAATTACTATTTAAAATTTCTCTCTGATATACTTACCACTCAGCTTCGTATATTACAAATTTTAAATGAAACGAATGAAATAAAAATAACAATAAAGCAAATCCAAAAAAAAGAGAAGCAAAATCATTGTATTGAGATAGATATAAATCTCTGGAAAAATCAAATATGATGTTTGCGAATATTACATTATCATCCGAGAGCAGGATATTTCACAAACATTATACTGCACATGGCAAATGTTTTTTCTATGGTAGTATTATTTGAAAAAAATTTCGCTCGATATGTAACTTTGGTTTCTCCTTGTCAGCTCGGACGTTTATTAATAAAAAGAATTTATCAATTAACGCCAATAATCCAATTACAAACATCGGTCGGACAATCGTTTATTAATTCAACGCATTTTGACTTTTTAACTTGAACGCATTGTGCACTGTGACGTGCACGGTAGCACTATGTAATCTGCTCTTAAGCAGTAGTAAGAATTGCCTTGCATCAACGCAGTGAATGTCAAGATCACGTATAAAGTGGAACGAACGGAACGATATAAACATTGGTTATACTTCGCGGCAGTGCACCTGCGCCTACGTTCACTCGACAGCTTTGAATCGTATCGTACTATTCGCAAACCTTCAGTGTGACTCACGTAACGTGGCCAGTGTAACGAAATAATAGATGTACATGCGATAGAAAATAAAGATACAGAGAGCTGTAACAACACGCAAGGTAAAACCACTGCAAAACAGAGTTCGTCCACTGATTACTCAAATGTAAAAATACCTTATCGTGGATGGTAACCCAGACCATTTTGGCAGGCTGCGCAAATAAAGAGGAGACAGGAATTAGTGGCAATACTGCATCGATGATACCGCGGCTGCGTCTGACGACTGCATTCGTCGATGCACGAGGTGTAAACTGCTTATCGGGTAAGCAATGAAAGTTTCGCGACAAATGGAAGAGGGTAGGAAAATTCAAAGAGTCCGACAGACGTATTAGACGATGGCGGGGCCAATGCATACAGCAGGTGTACCAGAATTCAAATGGCGGCATTCTAATTTATTTGTTTGAAAAAATCATACTTTTACAAAACATTTGGATCGTATTAAATTTTATTAATAACATTCATGAGTCTCGTTTGTTTCAGAAACTGATATCCATAAAAATGGTAGAAGATAATTATAATCAACAAAAATCATATTCGAATTTTTATGAAATTTTAAATGACGTATGTATATATACACATTATCGTATAAATTAATGATTTATTACAAAATACATTTTTTCACTTTAAAATTGTAAGAAAATATTTTTACACCTTTAAAATAACTATTCTTAAATTTCATTATTTAATCCAAATGCTTTAAAAGATTTAAATAAAGACTTTTTATATTAAATACATTCGCATAATTGTGTGCGTATAAAATCACTGGTAACACCGTGCAGAACTTACGAAATTAATAAAATTGTACATAAAATTCTATCTTTTTCCTTATTATTTTATATGTGATATAAATTAATTAAATAAAGGGAAGCTTAATAATTATAATAATCAACAAAATCCATACTCGAAATACTCGAAGTTTTGTGAAATTTTAAATGACGTGTATGTATACATATTATCGTATAAATTAATGTTTCGTAATAAATATAATTATATAATATAATATTTATGTTAACAAAAATTATTTTCTCAATATAATAATGAACAGAAAACAAAATTAAATAAATAATAAAAAGGATTATTTTTTAAAAGCTATTAGCGATAAATATAAATTACAATTTATATTTTTATATTTTTATTGTAAAATAATTTATCATTTTATTAAGGAAGGTATATGATGTTTGAAAGTACAATTAGATTCAACTTTTGTATATACTATAGACACATAATAAATTAAATTATTCAAGAAATTTATCTACTCAATATTTACACAGATAAGACAAAATTATGAATCACTATATAACCATTCTGTAGCTATTATATCTTTTTTTTTTCCATACATGTTATATTTAATAGTTAAATATTAATTTCATCATATCATTTTTGAACCATTTTCAATAGTACCTGTATTTAAACCATTGATACATTGAAAATTAAATCTAAACTGATTAAGATATACTTTATATTACTGTGCACTTATGTATTTCTTTCCCTTATCAATTGTATATTTAATTTTATATCTAAAATTATCACTCGAAGAATCATAATAAAAATATTCCATCACTTCAAAAAATATAGTAACGATACTTGGACTTTTATGAAAATAAAATAATAATTTTTTAATCGTGATAAAAACTATCATTTAAAAAAAGAAATTTCCAATATTAAATTAGGTACAATATATGTCATAAAACGTACGATTCACACAATGTTTACATGATGCACAGAGATATCATTAACCTAATTTCTATCAACAAGGGGGTAACTATAGAAATATGTAAATTTCTTGTATGATTATATGATTGTTTACACATATTTTATCAAAATTGTTATTCAAAGTATCAAATAAAAATTAACGTTTGTAATTAATTGAATAATAAATTAGCAATAAATTAATTAAACTGACAAAAATAAAATATGGACAGTCTAATAAAAATATCAACTCTCACAGAAGGCATGTGAATATCATCTGCATGCATGGATTGCCGCCATCGTCTGCAGATATTCAGCACTTAATTAAATGAAATACTATCTTTTAACAATTATACACTTTAAAAAGTATAAAATAATATAAATAATATGGCCAATGACATATTGTACATGACATATTTTTTTGTTTTATTACTATGATATAGTTTCTATGATATATCATATGTTAATCAAATAAATATTTCTTAATCAAATTTGAATTAAAATTCGATGAAAATAAATAATTTATCAACATTAAACGTTCGAACAATTTGTACCTCTCATAAAATTATGAAAATAAATTCTGAATATAACAATGCAACGTAACAGTTTATATTTAATTCCGTATTTGTAAAAAAAAAATCATTCTTCTGATATAAATTACTTAAATCTATCAAAATGTAATATGGTTCAATTATAATTTTCTGTTCACATCTTTACAACAAAAGTCGTATTAACTTAACAATAAATTGACATCTTCAATCAGTTTATCGTTTATCATTTAGCGTTATGAGTTTAACATATAAAAATAAGTGAAAAGAAAAGAAAAATTTGATTTCATCGTCTCAAAAATTATTTATGTAACTGGATAATGATTTTATTGGAAATATTCATTAATATTAAATTAATGTAAGTACTTGTAATTACATAGTCCCTGACAAATTTCTGATATTCGTGTAATTAATATTCGTCAATTTTTATACTGATAATATTTTTACTTTTATGTATACAAAAGAAAGAAGGGAAAAAATTATTATCAAAGAAATGTATTAAGAAACGTGATTATCAACAATATCACCTGATTGTCAACAATATAGTAACTAAATCCTAGCAGTGATAAGCGGAAGTGATAAACGGTGCTTAAATAATAGGATAAACTAAATATCCATGTACGAATAATAAAGCTATGAATTATCACTCTCAAGATTCATATCTTTGCGATAACTTTGTGATAATAAAATTGTATGATAGCATGACAAAAGAATTCTTGGATTAATATTATTATCATGACATTAATTAGTTACCAATTATTCCAATTTTCAAATAAAATATAAACAAACTGTTATGGTCACATTAACAAAATCTATGGAATTTGTAATTTTAATGTGGAAATTGTGAGCACTAATGGGGGAATATGATATTAAATAAATAAATTTAAAAAAGCTTGTGTTGCAATCGAAAATTAAATCAACATCTTTCGTATAAAATTTAATGAATCCCTATTTAAAAAGGATATCAAGTATTACAAAAGTTGTATAAGAGTACTTTTTTTTTATCAATGTTAGTAATATCTGAGTGACACAAGTGTCTAAAAAAGATAAAGAATTACGAAATGTTTAAAAAAAAAAAACGAAAAATTATAAAAATTAATGAAATAAATTGAATATGATCTCACAGAGGAGTTTGTCGAATTATCTTAAATCGTTTTAAATGCATATTAAAATATACATAATTTAATTAAGAAACTACATAAATTAATCTCAAGGTTGCTTACAAAAGAAAAATTTTCGTATCAATTTACGTGGTCCTCAAAGCCACTCAATTTTTATCGAAAACATTTTTGATATCAACACTTTCGAAAATATCTACAAGGTCTAATTCAATTGAGTCACGCTATAGTAACAAAATTATATAACAAATTTCCGGTATGCTTATCTGTTTTATATTAAGCCGGATAACATACTTGAAATGAAGTTTGATAAGGTATTACAATGTACGCTACTACCGGTCAAAAGTTTGAGTACACGTATCAATAAAAACAATATTCTGATTTTTTATCCTTCTTGTAATATTCAAGTTTTAATTTTATTTTTTATCGCGCGTATATTACAAACGTAAATGTGTAGAAATAAATCGAAGTAGTTTTCGTGAAACAATTTAAATATTCCCTAAGGAAACCGTTATACACGAATCACGCCATGCGCATGAGCAGACGAATCTCTGCCCACTTCAGAGTCCATTGCTAGCTTCACTCTTCTTACACTAATTCACAGAGTGACGTTGACGAGTGTCACTAATGCGTACGTGTGTTACGCCGCGTCGTCTCAACACCGGCAACAACCATGAATTCTGATCATGTAGGCACTGACGTCCTCATTATACTTCATTATTCATACGATATTCCATGCATCCACTTGCTTAGGAATCATTACACGAAATTTATTTTTCACATTTTGGCAACACGAACGATGATACATTCAATAACTCAATTGACGTCAACCATCAACGAACATTGACGATCAATCAGAAGAAAAAATGTTATTTTGCATTTTAATTTAATTTATTTTACATGAAATAACTTTATGTCAACTTGTATGATGCTTTTAACCATACCCTATATACTAAATATATGCTATTTATCAATATTCACTTTTTTCTTTACAAACATTTTACATAATTCTTCACATTCGGAATTTAACATTCTTAATCTTTGTAATTTTCCTCTTTGTATCGTCTTGCAACTTTTATTTAGAATTTTCTGAACCTCGTGGAAGGAAGTTAGAATACCTAACCTCACAATTCAATTCATCCCACATTACGAAATTCGTTCCATTGATTGTTGTTTTCCTTTTTCTGCTTCAAGCACTGTTCGTTTCTCACACATTCGAAATATTTTCGTTTTACTGTATTCAAAGTATGTATACTCAAACTTCTAAACGATAATGCACTTTGTTTTATTTTTATTCACAAGATATACCGGCGAGGTCTCGAAAACCATTTTTTGATATATTTAAACGAAAGATACGATATTGCAAAATAATAAAATATTTTTATACGAAATAATTATAGCGAGACTTGTAACTTGTAAATTAGATTAATATTTAAATTAGTACAAAACAAAAATTCAAATTAGTGTAGAATGAAAATATATACTTTATGCGGAATACGAATTTATATATTAAATAAATTTTTGATAAACAGTAAATTTTATATAAATAATAAGAATAAAAAGTTAGGAAAAATATATTCGATTACCAATTACCAATGAAATTAGATTTAACTTAAAATAACGTGCTTAATTACACAGAATGATAAAATCATCACGCTGTATTAGCGTGTTATAAAACATGTTATACGTGTGACAATGATTTCACAAAAACAATATCGTTAAATTCTTTAACCAATCTCGAGTTCAACAACCGACTGATCGTCGTGACGATATGAACTATCATGCAATCATATGACGTCCAGCTCCGCTATAACTTAGTGATTTAAGTTATACGTGCGTACATCATCCTTTTCTTCTTGAATAACAGATAGTTTACGATAATTTTTATCGGAAGGTTATCATATGTCATCAGAATATTAACGTATTTGAAATATGAAATTTCGATTACATATATGTAATTTTCTATATTTGATATTTCATTCGTAAAATTTACTAGATAAATTGTAATATATTTTTTTTTTTCTTTTTGTATGTTATTTTATTTTTTATAAGATCGCCTTAACATTTTTAATCATGAGCGATTATTAAAATTAACTTATATATTATTAGATCTTAGAGACAATCAAGTATCAAAATAAATAAATAAATTAATTAATAATGCTAATAAAATAAAGAATTTAATTACCTCATACTTATTGACAATATTATACATAAAAGATTTTCTTTCTCCTTTTCCTTAGGTACAGAAATTACTAAATTAATTGCAAATACAAAACAATTGCTACAAATATGTACAATTTGACCACTTTGCAAATAAAAATATATTTTCAATTTTTGATTTCAGTAATTTGTATTAATATTATTATTTCATGTATTATTATTTAAATTCCATATAATAATTTGAGTTTGTATTTTAATAATCATTTTTGTATTTCATTTTCTTTTTTGCAAAAAGCTATAATGATGCTAACTCTTAAAAATTATTTTAATACAAAATTTTTTAAATATTTATCTCAATTTGATGTTCATAATATTTTGAAATATATCTTTTGTATAAAATTTACATAAATCCTATTAAATACATAATCAAAAGCTTAATTAGAGACGTTCTTTTTAGACAAATGATATGAAACAATGTTAAATGATTAAATGATTAAATACTTGTTCCTGTTAATAAATATATGTTATGGTTATTATTCATTCATAAAAAATAACAATATTATGATTTAATTTTACATAAATCAAAATTTATAGATCATATATAGTCTTTCATCTTATTAAAAGTGAAAATATAGTTTACATACTTTTATAGGCATATTATGAACATCTAAGAAATAAATCTACATAAATCAACAATATTTGATATATTGACTGTCAAAAATATACCTATATATGAATATACAAAAATACATAAACATAAAACATTTTTAAAGCCACATTATATTTTATAGAGAAGAATAAAGTAATTGTATTTTTGAATTTTCTTAGTAAAATATATACTATTAATTTTAAAAAAAAACCTATACTTCTTGTTTAACTCTTGACAAGAACAAAAAATTCAATATAAAAAGGACATAAATTAAAAGCAGTAGATAAGAATATTCGTATTTAAATATTTATACTCAAGTCCTTTAACATTAAAAGTATATGTCAAATAAACAAAAAAAAAAAAACAAATTTAAAAGTGAGTTCTATACGAGTATTATAAGTTTTATAATAAATAAGAAAGACTTAAAATTATTCTTAAAAGTAGTATTAAATTTCTAGAAAATTCAAGCAAACCGTTTTATTTCAAGGTCAAAACGATATTCATTGTCTCACATATGTATATTTGCTGTAAGACTACATGTATGCGACAATTTCATATTATAATATATATGTGTAAAAAATCTTTACTAAAATTCTTATCAAATAAAAAACATACATAAATACTGAAAGTTTTATCATAACGATATATTGCAATAATAAAATATTTTTGAATTACATAAATTTTTAAGGTTATAATCACCAAAATAACAATCAGAATTTTATTATTTGACACTTTATCAAACTATATAATTTATTTTAACCGTTACCTTTTCACAATTGTTGAGAGCAAACTCAAATTTAATGAGACTGAAGTCAATAAGCAGAGCAGAAGACCGAACACACGAAATTAACACAACCGCAGCTTATAAGAAACTGATGTTTTAAGGACACGAAAGGTCGCTATTTCCTAGTGAGTCCACCTTGTACCTTTAGGCTGATTCTCATCGCAAGAGATTTGACATGAACCGTGAAAATGTAATAGTCCTACCAATTCGTCACTTTAATATACTATAAAGTTATATTTGTATAAAGCAAAATATGTATAATGTACTTTTAATTAAATAATTTATAAATTTTATAAACTTTATATATACACTATATATTAAAGTACTGCATGTAAAACTGTTACGATGTTACTAATAATTTATTTTTGAATCACATTAAATACTAAAAGAGTTTTATAGTTATAAATTTTCTAATTTTGTTTAATTTTTAAGGAATTTTAAGAGTGAAAAACTTCTATACACTCTTGCTAAAAGAATCTAGTTATAAATCCTAGGGATAAATTATTTAAGCATTGTATTCCTAATTATGCAAAAATTTTACTAGTTAAAATCAAAAAATAAATCATATTTCTACTTTTAATAGATTATACTTGTACTTTTATTGTACAGTATTTATATACTTAATTATTTTGTAGTAGATAAATTAATTATATTAAGTTACAATTTTACATTATGAATATAATGAATATACATTTTACTTTTAAAATAACCAATTTACATACTATAAATAATCTAAATTTTATAATAATGAGAATTTATTAATTTCAACTTAACTATGTAGTTTATATAAACAATAAATTATTCACATATCAGATTACAAATTAGTAAATATCACAACATAATAATTTTAACATAATAATGTTTGTTATAAATGTATAATTTTATTAACTCACTTGCTGAATATATAATAGTTAATCCACATGAAATTAAATTTTCCTCTAATGTAAAATACCTACACGATACTTCCTAGGACTAAATATAACACTAGTTAGTCTATGTTCATGTGATTAAATCCATATGAGTAAAAAATAATCTTACGATATTATATGCTAATATTTTTATTAGTAAACAGTAGTATTATATATAATAACTTTATAAGAAGAAAAAAGAAAATATATATATACATTTCAATTTTATTTAATATTTTTAATATTTATTGATAAGAAAATTAAATTTGTTCTGTATAAAATTGTCATCATATATAAAATATTCATAGCCACACAAATGCAATGGCATGATTGAGTTAATGAAAGTTATTATAAGTATATTTCAAAAGTTCAAATATGTACTTCGTGTACTAGTTAACGTTAAATTATTTTATAAAAATGCAATCTGATGCATGAAAATATGATCTTACAAAAATTTGTATATACTTATAAATACAGTACAGTATACATAATTTGTGGTTATAATTACATTTATTTTTTATTATATTGTCTAAAGATATGATACTCTACACTCTTTTTAATGATTTCCTAAAAAAAAAAATATTTTTGGAGTTAATTTTATTCATTTAATTAATAATGTTCATGAAATGTCTTATAAGTATCTTTTGTTTGTTATTTTACATATTTTTTTAAAATAACACTGTATTTCTCAAACATATATAATACTGTGGGATCACAAATAACCTTAAATAATATGTAAACATGTCAAATATTTAACATTTATAACAATTTATTTGTCCACTTCTTTATATATCTTTAAAAACTATTTCACATTGTTTTCGTTTGAAGAAATAATATCAAAATTTAAGAATGATTTTGAAATGTTGGAAGAATCTTTTTTAAGATATTTTCTTCATAAGGTTGTTATAATTATTTGATTTACTTTATATAATTTTCAATACACAGAAGATACAATTTATTTGTGACTTAACAAAAATTTTTCTAATTAATAATTTCCTACGTTATTATTCTTTCTGTCTTTTGTCGTTATATAAATGGTATATTTACTGAATTTGTTGTCATTTATATACATTTTTTAAAATATTAATTGTATTGATGATTAATGTTTATATTTTTCTGGATATAGAAGAAATAAATAAGAAATTCTTTAAATGAGCTTGTCTTAAAACATTTCTTTGTATAATTTATATAATAAGTAAATTTATTATAACTTCCTGTAATATATTCTTAAGGGATTTCTTTGTTTGGAATAGTGAAGATTTCAAATAAAGAATTTTTAAAGATTTAATTTTTGTAAAATTTTTTAATTTGTCATGCTTTTAGAATTTGACTGAGGAAGAAAATTCAAAACATTAAATTATTAATGTATAAATGCACTTAAAAATAATATATAAAAAGTAATATGATAAATATTTTTATCACAGTTTAAATTTTCAATTTATTAAACAAAAATTTTCCCCTTTAAAATTGTAAGATAATATTTTTACACCTTTAGAATAACTATTCTTAAATTTCTTTATTTAATCCAAATGGTTTAAATGACTTGAATAAAGTTTTTTTATATTAAATACATTTTATATTAAATACAATATATTAAACAGAATTAAATATATGATTGTGATTAATTGTGAATGTCTAATAAAATTTGATTAAAAGTTAATTTGCTCTGTTGTGTACGTGTATTTGTTAAGAGTTTCTATATGTATTGATGCAATGAAACTATAGTTTCGTATTATCATGTGTACTCGTTTTTTAATAATCAAAATTTTATTACTAAATTTTATCATTACAGTTTTTAATGTTATCTTGATATCTAGTTATTAATATATTCATTAAATTTTTTGGCTTTTATCAGTTTTAAATTTAATCATTATGAAATTTACTATAATGTCTGCTCCATAATAAATGATGAAAAAAATATATATATAAAATCTAATGTAAGTACTTTTACATATTTTTCGTCTGATGTTCCTCCTATACATTTTTTCTCTATACATTTATATAGGATGTTTTTGCACATACAAATTTGCAGTAAATTTTGACTATATTAAGAAATGCATGAATCTTTAATACAATAGATGTCACCTTTGAATAACTGGAATGGTATATATGTTTGTTACATTGTATCGGTTTATTATGATACTTGACATTTTTCTATTATTTTACATAACTTTTGTTATACCTATTCATATTCGCTATGACAAGTAAAAGAAAGAAAGAAGCTTCCAAAAAAGATATATTTTCAGAATCTTATAATGAATCTGTTGAAAGGTAAATTACATATTAATGTAGGTTAATGTTATGATGTCGCTATATAAAATTAATTCAAATATTGATTTATTATATTTTTGTATGGGTTTTGTAACTAGTATTTCTATAATCTACTTTCTGTTAATCCATTAATATTAAATATATGTAATAGTTATATTTATATTTAAATCGTTTATATTTAAATACCGATTTTTAAAATAGAATTTACAAAAATAACAACAGTAGGAGTGGTATGTAATCCACATATATAATTTAGAATTTATTTGATAGTTTTAATATCTTAAAATATATAATGATAAACAAAAGTATCAATGTGATATGCAATTTTATATACAGACATTTATAATTATTGAAATAACTACTTATATCACCCATTGTTAATGTTTATCTATTTCTTTAAGGATATTTATTTTAATTTTAATTCATTTGATTATTATCTTTTAATAATTTAAGTAAATGTTTGCATTAGTTAATACATGTTTCTTAAATTCAGATGAAACATCCATTTACGCACACATATTCCATAACTTTATTTTATTAAAGAAATTATTAAATGTGTATTATATGTATATTTCAGAATTACAGGATTAAGACATTGTCTACCATTTCATATTTCTCCTAAAATTATAGAAAGAAGGAAACAATTTTGGGATCAGTTTTTTGAAAAATATATAGACCAAGTATGAATAATTTTACTTTTTTAAGTATATATGTACTTTTAAATATGTATGGTAGTATTAATGTTAATATGTTTTAGACATCAGATACAACTGAATTTAAAATTGTTCTTAAAAAAGAACCTGTATATAATAAATCATTAGATGTAATACAATATTGGGTAGATACAGGCTATCTACCTTATACAAAATTTCGTATGGATGAAAACAAACAGTCGGATATAGGTTCCCTAATAACTGCAAAGTGTATAAGCTCATCACCTTCAAGCTGTAATAACTCTTCTAGTAGCTCTGTTGATACTGCTGCTTATATTTTATCAAATATGAATACAACTAATAAAGCAGAAACTATGGCTATTGTAGAAGGAGCAAAAGATGATAAATTAATAATTTCTCAGAATACACAAAATACGAAAATAACAGAACCTACTATAGATAAAGTACTTGAAAGCAGCACTGAAAATATTGTTGTGCAGAGAAATTTAGATGCAAATGTTAATAAAGATATATTGTCAAATACAGTTCATAAATTAACAGATGATAAATTAATTGATAACAATACACCTAATTATAATAAATTGATGGATGAGAGACTAATGTATGCATTTGATGACAGTATAAAAACAAACTCTTACATTAAACAAAATTTATTAAATATGAATTTATCGCATATTAAAAGAACTTCCTTATCAAAAGAAAATTTTGTATTAGATAATAGCATAAGAAAATCAGGACATCACAAGAAGTTATATAATAGTGAAGATTCACCTGTTGATGTTATTGAAATGAGCAGTAATAACAGAAGTATAATATCTAAGTTAAAACAAAATTTACATCCTGCATTAGGTTTTGGATGTAAGTTATCAAGGAAAAGTAAAATGAATAAAAAAAGAAGGACAACACAATTTTCTATAATTAGTAAAAACTTAATGAATATTAGCCAATTTAGTATAACAAGTCATAACAGAAGTAAACCGGAAAAAAATAAGTCAACATTCAGTGGAAGTACTACATCATTAACAGATCTCAGAAGAAGTGATGTTAATGATCTCAGAAGTGATCTCAAAAGAAGTCTTGTTACAAATAACAATATTATAAATAACAGTATCATAGATCAACATTTAGTAAAATGTAACACTGATCAATATATGAATAGATTTGTACCAATTAATGAATCTACAAATAAGCAAGACAACCTTAATAAGTCAGTACATCATGTAGATAAGACAGACATAAAAAAATATAAAAAATCAAATGATATAAAACCAAAATTCAAAAATTTGAATCCAATTGTTTATTTAACGCAATTATCAAAAGATGATATTAAAACACATAAGAAATCAAAAATATTGATGAACAATCGTAGGAAAATAAATACAATTCAATTATCAAAACGTAATATGTTGACTCGAAGACAGAAAAAGCTAAATAAGGTGACAGATCTAACGAATTCGAATTCAACTATTCGTTTCGACAAAGCCGATATTCAAGGATATAAAAGACCAAATAGTACGGTAATGTTAAATTTAAATCCATTAGTTCATTTAAAACGATTATCAGAATTTGAAATTCTGAAATATAAAAAGTTTGTCGATATGAAGAAAAATTTTAAAATTTTAAATGCAAGAGTTTTGCTAAACAGACTATCAAAATTTGATATTGAAAGATATACAAATGTCAATAACAACAAAGTAATAAGTAAAGGTGATATATTGCCAACATTTATTCAAATGCAAGATAATAATGTAAATATCAATGATCATACAGGTTTTAGTGCATCAAATTGTTCAAATGCTTCATTAAGTATTATCAACTTAGCGAATGAAGATACCACTAGTGACCAAAGCACTCTCTTAATGAGAAAATGTGATAGTATTTTATTTGATAACTCTTCTGCAGATAATTTATCTGTATTTTCAAAATGTAGTTCACAACTTTATTCTATGACTACAAAAGCTGATAACGTATTAGAAACAAAAAAAAGATTTAATGAAAAAGGAAAAGAATCAGATAAAATAGAAAGTATGATTGATAAACATAAATCAAAAGTTGATACAGAGGAAAACTATAATACAAGAAATAGAAAACTTAGGACAGATGTTTTGAAGACTAATTTGAAAAATTCGAATAAAAGTAAAAGATTACCTTTGGCTAAAACAGAAATAATTTATAAAAATAATAGTATACAGGGAAATAATAATAAAAAGAAACCACATACTATACTTGTATCTGACGATGATGATGAATTTGTGAAACTTTTACATTGTTCAAAAGATATGCAGAAATTAAAACTAAAACAACGTTACAAGGAGTTTTATAAAAATTTTAATAGCCCAGTAAAAAAAACAGAAGATATAGGAAAATGTAACAATACAAATTCAAGTATTTTATTAGATCAAACACTTCCTAAGTCGATTGTTGAAAAAAAGGAAGGAGATCCGTATCCATCAAAAAATAAGAAATTTTTACAAGCATGTAATTTATCAATGGAAGAAGATAATCAAACTAAAACAAAATTATTGTCTAATATGAATCTTATACAAAATAGAAATAGATTTCGTCTAAATCATTTGTGCTACAAAACAAAAATTATTGAGTCTGATACTGAGTCAAAATCCTAATTTTTGGATGATAAAGAATAAATTAATGAAAGGTAATGTATGTTATTTATGTAATTTCATTATAAATTTATGTTAATTTTATTACTTATTAAATTTTAGAAAAATAAAAAATTCATGCTTAATACAAGACAAAAAATATGACTTATGTAATATATTGCATATTTTTATATAACATTAATTATGTTTAAAGAATTAAATGCTATTAACATAAAATAAAATTAAACTGACATATTGTAAACTTTATGTATATTTAATCAATAATTCTATAAATAAAAATTCAACTTATTGCTATTAAAAATGATTTTTTATACAAAAAGATAATAATTTTATTAAAGGTAATAAATTTGCAAGTTATTTCAATATTTAAATAATCGAATAAAATGTACACAAATTGATAAGAAACTTATTAATCTCCATGGTAAAAAATTAATATGGATCAATGGAATTTAATTTCTATCGTTAAATGATAATTATATTATAATACATTTTAAAAATGTAGAAATTGAGTGAATTGAGTAGTGATAACTATCTAACTATATATGTATAATACATTTATTTAGATATTAACTAAATTCAGGTTAAAGATTCCAGCAATATTCAAGTATTTTTTTTCAAATATCTGTGAAAAAGTATATACTTATAGTTTAAATGAAGATATTTGATATGCAATATCACACTACTAAGAAAGTATATTACAAAACACATACATTATATAAAAAAAAAAATTAAAAAATTGATATATAAGATAATCGATAAAGTTTTTTTAATAGTGGGCGTAAAATAATTTTTAATATGAAAATATATGAAAAGTGTAGAATGAAACACTTTTGTTAAATTAAATTTAAGAAAAAACATCAATTTTATTATATGTATTTTTAAACTTCATATATATTATAATAACATACATTGATGGACAACAATGAAAATTTAATAATATAATTATATTATTTAATATTTCATAATTATTCAATATTAAGTATTTTTTTTAAATATTAAAATTCACTAGCAGACTTAATGGCAAACATTTTATTAGCCAAACATGTTTTAATTTATGTTGTTAAAGCAATCAAACTAGTAAACAATATATTGATAAAAATTATTCTATTATTTTTTATTACTTTTAGCACTCATTAATAAGAATTAAACGAAAACAATACATCAATATTTTAAAAATATTAATCCATTGCTTTGTAAGTCTTATTTAGATTAATCAAATTACTTGAATTTAAGTAATTTAATTAGTGAATATCTAAAGTAGTCTTGAAAGAAGTAGTGTTATTCTAAAAATATATAATGGATATTGTATAACATTACACAAAATTACAGTGATCATCAAGATCTTTCAAATGATTTTTAATGAAAAAATTATAATAGCATACGAGAGATTAGAAAATTTAACATTTTTTGTTTTGTATATAAAATATTTATTATTCTAAGAAAGAAAAATATTTAATATGACTTTTATTTTGCGTTGAGATATTTTTGGACACACTGCATTAAACATTTCCAACATATATTTTCTGCTATTTTTCATTTAATTAACTTAATGTATGTATGTTACATTGTTTGTATATTATATATTTTTTAATTCATGCAGAATATGATATATAATTTTATTTCTATTTGTAAAATTAACTGGTTACGTTTTGAATTCTCTATGTTAGAAATTATTTTTAAGTTCTCAGTTTAAATTTTATTTTTTTACTTTAAAAGAAGTTCATATTACTTACTGGTAAAAATTAGGTAACATTATTGTAAACAATATACAGTGAGTAAAAAGAATATCTAATTTATATTTTGAGATTTTTTAATTGAGAATCATTTATTAGATCGACTATTAGTTAGTTTCTGTCATGATTAACATATTCATTATTTCCTTAGTAAAGTATTTTCACTGATTAGTCTGCTTTCTCATATTACCTTTGTTATAGAATCTTTTCAACATTGATCATGAATAACTTTTCAATAATTTCGATTGATACCAAGTCAGAAAACAATGTATTTTGATTTAAATAAAAGTATAACTATAATTTCTTTCCATATTCAAGAAACTTATATAATAATATTTTCTCGTATGTATATGAAAATATGTCATCTATAATTCAAGATTGTAACATTTTTTTTATTGAACAAGATAATTATTTTTTATTATTTTATTATGATATTCTATGATTATTATTACTAAACTATATATTTATTTTTAAAATTGTTTTTATTGTGCGGCAATTAATTCTATTGTAATGATTGGTATGATCTTTTGTTTTTAAATTTTTTTAATCGAAACAAAGAAAAATCATGAAAATGACTATACATGATAATGAAATGTAAAAACAAGATTATTAGAATCAAAAAAGTAAATGTGGATTATTCATTTCTAAGAGATTTCCTGTATTTTATGTATTTTAAGTATTTAATAAAGGTAACTGCTGCTTTTTTTATTTGAGTTTATATTGTCGAATGAATCCACAGTCTTTTTCTTTAGTATGCTGTATTTGAACAATAATATTATTTGTTTATATTTTTTTTTTTATTATTTTTTTGAGAATGTATTTCTTGACTTATAAAAATTATACTTGAGCTTTCAAAATTACAAAACCAATTTAGAATATTCTTAGATATTTGGATAATTGTAATTTAGATGGTAAAACATTTATCACTGGTTGTAAACATTAATTATTATAATTCATAGTTTATACTACTTTACATTATTTTTGTCTGATTAAGAATTTTTTTTCTATATTACATTATAATAAACAAAAAATTTCAAACTATATAATTCTGTTTGTATAAAATATTATTATAAAAAAATCATTGTATTTTTATATATCATTCAGTAATTTAAATTGTTTTGCTTAATAATTTCTTTTAAGTTCTTAGGTTATCAATATTAATTTAATTATGTCTTTCATTATTTCTATATTTTTTCACTTGAAAATATATTTTCATTACTTTTTATATTTGTTATTAAGTATATATATCATAGTTTATAAGTTTATGTATCTAAATAAGTATAATTTTTATAGCTTGTATTTTTAATACAAATGTAAACTAATATTAAATTTTTCAATTGTAATTACATCTCAGATGTGTCCTGTATATGCATTTTGAGCTATAATCATGTCAAAGATCTTTTTTTTAATTTCACAATACCTTGAAAAGAATTAAAATACAATTATTTTAGAATATAGAAGAAAAAGTAACAGCAAAGTAAAGAAATTATCTAATATACCATACAGTTGGAGGATTTGATTTGGTTACTACTTACAACTGAAAAATCTAGTATTTTAGGTAATAAATTAATTTAATTTAGAACATATAAAAAATATTTTAATTAACTAATAAGTACTCCTGATAATGTTTCATATGTTTTTCTATTAAATAATTCTGTATTGATTTTATATATACAACCTTAATATTTAACTTTTATAATTGATTATATCATGTGGTTCCCTTTAAGAATAAAAATAGTATATATTTTAGATATTTATTACATTCTTATATTTCCTTGTGCTATTCAACTTTAATTCCTTTGGCATAAATATCATATGAAAGTATTCGATTGTAATTGAAATATTTCTTTATTATAAAATATGCTTTAAATTATTAATTACCCCAAACGGTTAGCGACAGTTGCACATTATATGAAAATGATAAAAAAGATTGTAAAAATAAGTTCACAGTACGTTAATTCGTAAATAAAAGTGAATAATAGCAATAATAATAAAAATGTGAAGAATTAATTATATTTTTTTGTTTTGGTTTTTCTTGGTTTAATTATCGAACGGCTACACCTAATACGTGTTGTCTTGAAAGAATCAAATGGAAAGTTTGGGATACATAACCTTCAAGAGTAAATGTATCCCATGTAACGTGGTTAAAGCCAGTATTTTTAATGTCTACAATAGGATGAATATCTAAATGGCAACCACCATATAGTGATGGCCATATTCTTGTTTGTGATAACATTTTTTGTAACCATCGTATAAAAGTTCCTTCATTTTCAGGTATATGCTCTATAAATAAATATCGACCTCCCTAAAACAAACAACATTATAGTTATAATATCTTATACCCGTATTTAATAAATACATGATTGAATGAAATCGATTAATGTTTTAAATGATATAATTAATAGAAGAAACAGGAAGAAAGAAAGCAATGATATTTGAGAAATGATGTCATTTGATGTTAAATCGATTTTAATTGTTAAAAAAATTAAATATTTCTATTTCATTATATTTGCTATATTTTATATTCTACAGATTATTGTTATGTACATTGTACATGAATTTTAATTGCAATGTTGATTATCAAATATATCGTTACTGATCTGGATAAAAGTTGAATATAAAGAAAATAATAATTGGAAATTAATTAATATCTCTCATAATACGTATATATAATTAGTATCTCAATCATAATCATGTATCTCAATCGTAAAAAATGATTGCAAAAGGTAAATTATGTAAAAATATTTTATAAACATTGATAAATATTTATGACATAGCTCCTAGTAAGTAAATAGAAACGAAATGGTATATTTTGATTAGGAAAAATCATATGTAGAATCATATATAAGGATAAATTATAATTTTGGAAAATAAGTACTTACTTGCAAACATTTAGTATACTTTTTAAGTAGTATACTTTAGTATTAGTATACTTTGTAGGTTTAAAAGTTAAATTAATAATATTAATATATTGTTTATTATATTAGTATGATTATATTATATCAGTGCATTAATCAAATCGAAATTTTTATCATTGAAATTGTTAGTTATTGATGATTGTTGGTAAATATTCATTAATTATAAAACTATGGAATATTCTGAAATCTGAATTTTGCTAGAATAATGGTATGGATGTGTAGTATGGATATTGTGTTATTATTAAGTTGCATAGTAACAAATTCATTATTTTACCGGTGTCAGTACCCTGTGGATCTCTCGAAGCGTTGATTTCAAGGATGTCATTGAACATAACGATCTTGTTGTCACAACTATGTCTACATGTCCAGTAGGTATTTCCTTTAGGGAGCTACCATCACCAACTATAAGATGTTCAATAATGATATGCGAAAATTGCCAAGAACGATTTCCTTTAATTAGATATTCAGCCAATCTCAGATTTCGATCAACACCAATAAAATGTGTGCCATCTGGGTAAAACTGTATATTTTCACCTATAAGATTTAAACTTCATCTATATAATTCTTATGTTATTTTGATACATACTTCTATGAAAAGAATTGTGTATAAGGGTGATGTAATAATTATTACCAGTCTTTTTGTTTCCTTTTGAATAGAAATCTAGGATTTGAAAAGTACCTCAATCTTCTAAATTGAAATAGAAAATGAAATTTTTCCGATGAAGAAAAACTAACTATTCCATTTAGAAAAAGAAAATTGAAAACGATTTTCAGTAAATAATACGTAATATTTGTTATACAAATTTTCAACTTATTCCCATTAGTTGTAAAGGTATCGAAGTTGCTAATAGTTATTTCCTCACCTTATCTATATATCTATATTGTGATATTTTGGAAGCAATAATTTTTTTATAATTTTTGGTATAGGTCATTATTAATAATTTATTTTTTATATCTTTAAATAGCAGTAGTTATAAATATAACTTAATATTTAATAATTCATATTATTGTATTAATTATATTATTATATTTCATATAATTCATTTTCGTTTATTTCATTAATATAGTATATATCATAATGAATAACAGATACAGTTCACCATGAAATTTTTTGCTTCATTTCAAACTTAATTTCATTTTATATTGCACGATGCTTTATCATATTATGCTTTCACGAACATTGTTTGATGAATACAAGAACTTAATATCAGGGGTAATACTGTTCTGTTTACTAGAATACTTTACAGCAATTCAACTGCCTCTTCACCCTCTAATATGTTTTTAATTTTGGGTTCGACTTAGACGAGTCTGTGTAATACGTTATAGTTTTCGCATATTTCAGAAATTCTTTAAAGTATAAAAGAATAAAGGCGCGAACGAATCTATCATGATTACTTGTGAATTTACAATTATCTGAATTTACGAGTTCACCAAGTTCAAAAGTATTCTGACGTTTTGTTAAGTGGGTAGTAGTGAAAATGCATTGCGCACGCGCATGTACAGCTGAACTCTAAAATGGACCTTTCAAAACTTCGACACCAATTCTATGTATGGTTTACGATATAAACAAAAGATTATATCAATTTTACTAGAAGCATTTCAGAGCGGTGAAACGTGTGCGATACGTTTTCTCTTTCATGAACAATATTGCTATAATTTATAACCAATATATGCTAAATTCTAATTCAAAAAGCGAATTAAATCTAACATTTAAATATATAATGTTATAAAATTATAGAAGCACTGTTTTATGGTGTTTTGTCTTTTATGTGCTATATTTTTTAAAGTTAATGTTAAAACGTCTTTTAAATTAATCGCTTTCATATACAGGCGTTTTTATAAAGAAGAAAACTAAAGCAATCCTGTTTCAGGAGCTGAAATAATTTCAATTCGCCCTATGAAATCTTCCTCTATCATTTTGAGGTTATATTTGGTCAGGTTTCGTGGAATATTTTGTATATCTCAGTTGTTGTATTTTCACGCTTAGTATAATATTTGCCATGCGTTAAGTTTATCTTAAACCATAAATGTCGTAATGTACCAGTCTGAGACACGTAATTATTGATACATCATAACGATTTGAAACGTATACATAGTCCATGATTAAATACTTTGCTACTTGTAATAATAATTATATGACTGTACGTATTGTAGTTATCAGTAAATATTTTTGTTTATATTCTATGTTTCTTGTAAAATAAATCGTGAGAGAATGTAAATTGCAATATATCCAATTTAAATAATATTAGCTATTTAAGTTAATTAAATGCACTTAGTTACACAAGAGTGACGTGATAACACGTTTAAGCTTACGGTGCATAAATTACTTTAACCTCTTTATTTTTTATCCGTAAGATTTCGTCAGTTTCGATATTCAAAAAGAGGGATAAGCATACTAGAGGGACATTACGACATTACTATTACTAATGTACATACATGTAATGCACACCCGTTTTGACGCCAATCTCAAGGAGACGTATACAACCCATGGAACGTAATACTGTGTCACTCGAAACGATGTGTTGTAACGATTCGAATAAATGTTTCTTGTAAGGTGCCATGAGATCTGCGCATTCTACCTCGAAACCGGTTAAATAAGTTCTGTAAATGTGCTTTTGTAAATTCGGCCATTTTCGCGATGTTAAGAACGCGATGAAAATGAAAATCAGCAATAACAACCCATAACTTGTAATCACATCGCGTATCCATAAATCGCTGTTACTCATGTTTCTTCGATGGAAAGTACACTTATAGGAATCTTCTTAGAACTTCTCGCAACGTTTGTCTTTTCAAACGAATATAAAGTAACAAGATCGAATGTCGACACCTTTTGAACTTTATTCTCTGGTTTTGTTTTTCTTCAGAGATCGTATTCCTTACGTAAACGTCTTATACTGAGCTCGAATGCGTTTTTTTAAACATATGTAAGTAGGCTTTGACAAGACCAGTGTTCACTGAAATGGAATAAATACTGTTTGCTAATCATACACGATAAGATAGCAGCATTATAACTATATTTTCTGAACGAGTAATATTTCAATACAGTAAATACTGCTTTAAAGAACATAATTTATGAGTTTCTTGATTTAACATTAATTATTGTTGAAGTTTCTGACATTATGTTATCATTTAAATTAAAGTAGCATTATGGAATCTATATTTATTTTTCAAATAAACTAGTTGAGTATAGAAAATGTTTCGTTACAAAATTTTAGTAATGTTTAGTAAGAGATTTATAACAATTGTGTAATATATATTCATCATTTAACGTTACAATTATCCGATTATATTTTTTAATATCGTGATAATTGTACTCATTTTATAATTGAAATCATTTTTATAAACTCCCCAATTTTATTACTCAGTTATATAATTAATGCTGAATTGTTGAAAAAGAAATGACTTACTTTTATAAGCAGGCACTTATATTTACCACAAAAAAGATGGTAAAGTGACAGTACATTCCAAGATAAATTGTAAAAAATAATATTTGTACCATCACTGTTTCGAATCTTTCCCATTTTTGAACATGATCACTGTAATTACTTAGAGATTCACCTAAAAAATGATCATATGAATATAATATATAATCTACGATAATACGATATAATATAATGTGATACAAAAAGAATATAAGTAACGAACATAATCGACGATGAAGACATCAATAACTTTTTCCAGATATATTATTTCTAAATTAAACACAACATTCGTAGTGTAAAGAAACATACTGTAAATAAGGTGTACAAAAATTTTCAAATTACTAATATATTTCTTATTTTTAAAATTACCACAAACTACGCAAATAGAATTAACATTGAAATTGTGAACCTCCATTATTCACAGTAAATTACCCTTATTATTTTTCTAATATATACATATTAACTTTTTATTTTCGTCTGCAGGTACATTGTCGTCTTCCGTAACACGAGCAGCATCGAAAAAATTCAGCATCCACGATAGTTGGTAAATCCAGAAATGCGTATATGTGGTCACCATATGGTTTGCTATAAAAAAAAAAAAGAAAGAAAAAGAGAATCTAAGAGGAGAGAAAGAGAAAGAGAAAGCGAACGAGAGAGAATATCGAAAGTTTTCACGGAAGAGAACACGATTCGGCTGGTAGAGGAAGAGGAGAACAATGGTCTCACGTTTTCGAAATGCGAGAAAGAGCGTACAGGTTAACAAAGGGGAAACAGCCAGCGGGCAAAAAGAAAACCGCTTGAAACGAACATATCGGCGCAAGGGGAGCATGATTCTTTGTCACTCGAGTTTTAAGAGTGACCACAAACAAAACGGGTTCGATCAATTTAGTCCCTCGAGCGAGTGCGTGCATTCGTTTGCCTCTTGCTCGTGCTTTTGCGCGTACGTACACGCACTATACATCCATCTAGGCGTTTCACATGCACGAAACTCGAAATTCGCTCGATTCAGAAGCATTTCGCCAGCTCCGGAGAGGCGTTTTGTTGTTAGCATTGGGGCGGAGAGGAGGCCGACCGTTTTCGTAATGGCTCGTTGATTCGAGAGAATCGTCGTAAAAAAATCGTACATACGACTTTCCTCCTTCGTTCTTTCTCGTTGTTATTCTTTCTCACCACGTGCTCGTCGCGTTTCTCTGTGTTTCTGGGTATTCTCATCTTGAAAGAATTCATTGAGGTCAATTGAAAAAGTTTGAAGTTACCCTTACCTGTGTTTTAAATATTATTTCTTTAGAACCGCTGTTTCTTGTGTTGTTTGCATTTTACGTGTATTAATATGCACACGTAAGAGATGGAATAAATATTTATTTGATAATTCGAATTGCTTCAGCAAAAGCATATTCATATATTCCGATATTCCATTGATTGAAAGATTTTTCAGTTAACTCATTATTCTGTTAATCAGTCACAAGAATTTTCAGTTAATTCAGATGTGTCTTTGGGGACCCTAGAAAATCCCTAGGATTACTAAAATCCCTTATGCTGTGTAGAAATAAAAATTCATGAAGGTATTAAAAAATGTTCCCACATTTTTGCATATTTCTTATTTTTTTGCTGATGTAATGCATATAGTTTTAAAACTGGTGAAATAGTTTAGTAATTTACTAATTATCGGATGTGTTAAAATTACATGCAAAAATTAAAAACTTCTTCTAAATACATTATAATGATTTAAAAATAAAACAATATATAAACTACGATAAATTCTTTGATAATACTAATGTATTACCTTGTTAAAAGTTATTACAACGAGTGAAATGATGTCCTTATTAATATACGTAAATAATTAATTCATAATAAATTTGTTTATATATATTTCATAAAATCATTGTTTTCAAAGTTAAATTTTGATTTGAAAATTTTGTAAACATACGGTTGCTTCTTGATATCGTTAAGAAATGTTATCTTTTCACATCCATATTTGTATATGAATTCGATGTATTTATTTAACGAAATAAAACTGTTACATTCTTCCCACCCTATGAGGTACGATAATATTATTGTTTCACTTTTCTCAGACACTGCTATAGAAATAGATTATGATTAACATTATTAATAGTTTGATATTATTAATTACTAAACACGTGAACAGATAATTACAATGCACGTGAACGTGACACATAAGCAAGTGGAAGTGAGTTGACATATTGACACACGTGGTGATGAGGCAGCGATGGTAAAACAGATCACAAACTTGAAATAGGGTAAATAGTGCATACAGAAATACCAGTTACAATAACTTAATTTAATTGTTTCAATAAATGTTTTATATTACAAATAATAGTTAAAAAGGAATAAGAATAAATATATAGTGAATTATTTATTATATACAACACTTACTAGACAATTTATAGTCAGATTTTATGTTAATTTAAAGTTTATATATTGTACATAATTTTAATTCTACAGTATGATTTTTTATTAACGTTTAAAACATTTATTTATTATTAAAAACATATCTATAAAATAAAAATTCAAATTCTTGTAATGTAGTAGATGCCCCTGAAAGTAGACAACCTAACATACTTACAAGAAAATTAGTTGCAATGAACTTTACTATTTTTCATAAAACGATGTAAAATTTTTGGAATTGTTATGTCTATTTTCTTCTTTTAATTTCTTGACATCTAAGATTTGTCATTATTATTATTATTTTTAATAATTATTTTTATAGTAATTTACATTTACTTGATTTTTTCTTTATAATTATATTATAATTCACTTATGCGTAGTGTTTTTACTAGTTAAAATCATTTAAGAGAATAAAAATATTAAAATAGTACTTTTGGTGATGTACATTTCCTTGTTTTTAATGGAATCAATCTTTTTTTTTTTTTTTTTAATTTTCACAATTTTCAATAATTTTTTCTGATTTGTTGTCTATTCGGTTCCAAAGTTTCGTTATTTCTGTCTCTTCGTTCTTTTCATCCCGTTTCCGTCATTCGAGAATGCCCGAAGGCTTGTCAGCAAATTTAAGTTGGACACGTACAAGCACGTGAACAGTTCTTCGAGTACCTCGACGGCTTATTGGTGAGCACGAAGCGAGCGGCCCACCTATCTGTTTGATCTTTCGAGAGTGAAAAATATTTAAATGCTGTCGTTGCTGTTTTATATTTTACGCACTTGTGCGCGTCACTGTACCTCTCGTGACTTTCCTTTCGCAAACAATACGAATATTTGATAAACTACCGGTCGATAATTTTCATGTAAAATACTTTGATGTAGAACTCACGTAATGTTATTATTAAATGATACAACAGAATGTTCTTCTTTATCATACTACACTTAGGAGTGTTTTTAGAAAAAAATACTATGTTGTTATTTCCAATAGAACTTTTATGTCTTGATATTATTATTTATTGTAAATTATATATTTTAATATCACTATTTTTATTTTGTAAAAATAGGAGGGAGAATTTATTGTACAAATTATGTAAATATTATTTAACTGGCAAAAATAAGAGTATTTATCACAACACACTTTAATTAAAATTTATATTTTTAATTATTAATAAACAATTATACGATGAAGAGTATACGATTTTGAGTTACAATATTTATTTTTCGTATCACTTATCATAGATGCAGATGTTGGTAACAATTTGTAACGCAGATTTTATAAAGATGTCGCTGATGATGATTTAGCGATAGATTAATCAGGCCAAGGTAAACTTCCTTCCAGTGACTGAACTGAACGTGGATGTATCTTAAGTATTTTTGCTTTGTACAACAAACTACCTATAATATATTCAACGCAGGAGGGATTCAACTTCAGCGAAACACGACGCCGTGAGGCATACAAGACGTACTTGAGAAGAAGCTCTTTTTTTCAAGTGTCGCTACGGCAGCGAAGTCGACGGCATTGTCTCCATTGTTGGCGAATCGTAATCAATATTTTCACAATATGGCGCCATTGTGCTTAGCACGAGCGAGGTGCAAGGGTTCTTCGTATGTTCCGCGAAGCTTTTATTCTTCGACATCACCACAGATCATTGTTTAACAAGTACAGTAAAGTAACGTAAAATAAGGTATCATAAAACGAGGTATTTGTAATATATACTTCATTTTTTTTATTATTTGATATTTATTAATGAGATATTTGATTCAATGAATTTTTACAGAATGCACAAAATGCTGTGGAATTACAAATTAATCATTATAATTAAGGGAAACGGTAATAGATAGTAATGAAAATAATATTTTTTATTTAGTAATGATTTTAGTATCAAAACTATAGAAAGGAAGATTTCTGACGCCTATCGATGAGCAATCCGTCTACTCATGTTTCTATTGGATTTTGATGAGTTGGAAACAGTGTATTTTCTAGCCTGGAGATTATCAGTTCAAGTTCATGTTTAAATTTGAATAGTATTCAATAATATT